CAATAATGATATTGAAAATGGTACTAATACCAAATTCTCACTCTCAAATCAGCAAAATAATTTATTAATACATTCTAATTCATATCTTAACAAGTTTCAATATGATTCAACTAATTTTGGTCCTCTAAACCTTTCTACTCAACATAATAACATTCTTACGAATAAAAGAAATATGGTATCTAATTCAAGTAGCTTTGATATTAATTCTCTTGAAAATAAGAGAAAAGAGGCAAATAAATTCCTTAATGAGGGCAGCTATGTCAAAGCATTAGAACTCTATGAAGAAATTCTCAAAGACCATCGACATAGTTCTGAAGATAAGAACAATGCTTCAACCTGGTGTCTTTCTTCTAAAAAACTAGACTCTAAAAAGATAAATGAATTAGCAAATATTCTCTGCAAGAACACCACTCTAAATTCGTTGAATCTCTCATATAATTAACTTGGATCTGAAGAAGGAAAGGTATTAGCAGAGGTACTTCGTAAGAATACCACCTTGATTTCTTTTGATCTTTCAAAAAATAATTTTAGAGCTAATGAAGGAATAGCATTAGCCAAAGCTCTTTGTCAAAATACTACTTTGGCTTTTCTGAATTTTGGAGAGAATCTACTTGGTCCAGAAGGTGGAAAAGCATTAGCAGCAGCTCTTTGCAAAAATACCACCCCTACTTTTCTGGATCTTTCATACAATGATCTTAGTTTTGAAGGTGGAAAAGCGATAATGGAGGCTCTTAGCAAAAACGCTACTCTGACATCTTTGAATCTTTCAAATAATAATCTCAGTTTTGAAGAAGAAAAAGTTCTAGAAAAGTCTCTTAGCATGAATACCACTCTGACATCTTTAATTCTTCCGGGCAATAAACTTGGTGTCGAAGGAGGAAAAGCTTTAGCAAAAGCCCTTCACGAAAACACTACTTTGACTGTTTTAAATCTTGAACATAATCAACTTGGGCCTGAAGGAGGAAAAGCTTTAGCAAAAGCTCTATGTAAGAATACTACCTTAGCTTCTTTAAATCTTTATTATAATCAACTTGGCTCAGAAGGAGGAATAGAATGTATTAATAAATTATTTTGCTGATTTGAGAGTGAGAATTTGGTATTAGTACCATTTTCAATATCATTATTG